GACCTGGTGCAATGGTTCCGTGGCCTTACAGAAACAAGCACACGCGCTGCTTTGCCGTATAATTCGGTGTGATCACTTGCAATCAGTCATTTTATACGGCAGCATCGGTTTAAATCGTGTCTTGGCTTTAAGCCAGAAATGTATATCTGTCGAACGGCTCGACCATCGCTTAAATTTAAAGAAACCACTGGGTAGAACAAATTTTAAAACTTTCTGCACGGTTTTATACCCATGTTTCATAACTAGTGAAAACATAACAAACGAATATAGTGTTTGCGGCCTACTTCAATGCCATGATGACACTGGGAATGCTTTAATGTAAAGAATTTCTTCTAAACAATCTGTCTAAAGCTCTCAGTATGGTTTATATGATAAGCTGCATCGATTAGGATAGAATTTCTTAAGGTGAGACTCACAAACGGCTTAGTATAAGCATTAACGAAGAACGTACGTCTGCTGTTCGCAGCTGTCATGCTGAAAATTCGGTCGTTGTATCCGCGGCCATTGTGAAAGGACATGTTTTCGGTTATGCTAATGTTTCCGTAGCTAACAAGGACAACAGCATGACACAGTAGTAACAAAGGGTGGTGGTATAATAAAGAAGCTCCTTCATATTCTGGCATGTAAACATAAAATGCGTAAAGAATACTCCTCATCCGTTGACGAAAGGGAAAGCTTTGATGAAATAATTAATCTCGTGCATAAATTTTACTTTACCACCTGAATGACACGCAACTCGTCATTCAGGATGAGGTTAGAAACTTAGCATATTTACTACTTGTACTTCCAAGACAGTAGTCATAAACCGAGGAATTAAAATGCAGTTGCAGAAAGCGAAAATATTTGCAATGGTAACACGGCCATATATAAACATACAAACAGAACCGCTTGACATTCAACATCGTCAGTTGATGCTATGCAAATTGTATTAATAATTCGTTATTGTGTCACTAAGTTGATTGAACTTCTACTTTTGCTTCATTCCGTGTTGATTATATTGCCGACGTTGCCTGCGAAGTAAAATTTTGTCACAATTTTTTGTCCATTTGGATTCCTTAGCCGTGCCTCAAAAAAATGTTTATTTGGTTGCATATGCATCGTGAGTCAAAAATCATTTGGAGGTAGGGGTAAAGTGTAAAGCAGATTTCGAGCTTTGAAGAAATAAATGGCTTTTCTGATTAAAACATTTCCACACAGTTTTGACTTAGAAATTGTGAAAGATTATGCAAGACCTAAAGAGTCAAATGTTTAAATAGCCTTTTGTTTGTTTCTCTCTTTTCTTGTGTGTAACATTTTGTACCCTTTACTGATTCCAGCTGCCTTGATTTTTCAGTTTCCTCGACATTAAGGTTGCAGTTGGTTCACCGCGTCGTGCGATGATGTGAAAAATTCTCAAATGCTAACTGAAAATCTTGAATGGAATAAGCGACCACATCGCTTCCATTTTGTAAGAGATATATACCGGAACAGTGTCTATGGTCAGGTGTGAAGGAAAGTTATTTGAATGGTCCCTTATTGACCTGAAGTTAGACACGGAGAAATGTTTTCACCTTTTCTATTCACCATTGTTTCCGACTTTCTTCTCTGAAAGAGTCTTGATAC